GGGATGCCTGTTTTAGTAAGTCTCGAGTCTGCCTCTCAGGACTCTCACAGGGAATCTAAAGGAGGAACAGACCAACCCCCAGCCTGGAGAAACCACAAAAGTCCCTGTCTGCCTTTAAGTTCTTCCTGAGAGGACTTCCTAATTCACTTCACTGGTTTCAGTTGGTATCACTCTGATGACTCCCAGGTCCCAGGAATGCCTGTGTGAGTCTATGGAAAGAATTCTGGGAAGAAAAGGAGGCTGTAGGAGGCTGTACAGAGCCAGCGAGAGGCACAACAAGCTCACCAGTGGACTGGTCAGCCTGCCCTGGAGGGAATTTCATCAGTCAAATTCTTCACAGAAGAGGTCTGTGATCTGTGCCACCTGGTAATCTAGCCACCCTGACACTTCAATGGTTTTACCCCAGAAATAAAAAGGGGGTCTTCAGTGGTAAATTTTCTTTCTCATTTGTCATGAGAGAATACTTGTATGGAATACATTAGACAACTTGATGTATAATGACTTCAGCTCAGATCTCCCCAAGCAGTACCAGAACCGTAATTTTTTCAGTTGACTACCAGGTAACTTGACATGGGCTTAGAAAGTCAATTGGTCTAAACCTAAAATAATTACCAATATTAATCAAGAGACCAACAGGAAACAGAGGGCATACTCAAATCAGGATAGAGTGCAAATTACCTAAATTGGATTATTCATAAAGGATGTTCAATTTAGGAAGTCTTTGTACAGGTGTGGGTAGTTGTAGGCAAACCTCAAAGCATAGTCCTGAAATTCAGGACTATTATCAACTGAGCTATTAGCACAATTATCCTTCAGGGAAAACAAAAGGCAAGGCTTACTGGAGTCTGGAAGGAGAGAGTCATGTAGAAAAGCTCACACTGAAAGAAACACTTAAAGGAAACAGCCAGCCCATAGTGACATATCAGGAACGGATCTAGGGAAATATGTCTCTATTTGATGCCGTTTCCTGCCAGTGACTGAACCCAATTGTCAGCCAGAGGACAGGGAAGCTTCACTTTCATATAACTCAGCCTTCTCGGGGCTAGTGGAGAGGTGGAGAAAGGTGGTGAAAATAACTACTATATTGCCTTTTCCCATTCCAAGTTCCTCCCCCTCCCACTTGAGCCAGTTTTCTGAATGACACCAGGGTTTACCTAATGGCACACACCAAAAGCCTACTATAAGGGGTAAAGGCTACTGGCCCCTCAAAATGTTACCAAATTATAGGAATCAAAGGCCCCTGGTGCCATAAAGATTTGCTGAAAAATCACTGATATGTGGCAGATTAATAAGAGGAAAAAGTTACAAATTTATTTTAATATGTCTACACAGGTACCTTAAAAATGAAAACTCAAACATGTAGGGGAAATAGTCCATGCTTATACTTAGATTCAACAGTGTATGAACAGATATGCAGACATATGATTGGACAAAAGGAACATAATCTAATGCTAACAGGCTGAGTGGTGGAACTCAGCAGAGCTCTTTCTGGATGGGGGTCTTGCAGTATAGGCGGAAGGCCTATAAGTAAGCCTTTAAACAGTTCCATTTTGTGAGGGCAAGTTTGAAGTCTTTTGTGAGTCAGAATGTAGAGAGACCTGGATAGAACTCCTTATGTGGCTCAGGACCTAATCATGTAGAAATGATTTAGAGCTGAGCCTCAATGGGGCAGGCCTGCAGGCAGGTACCTGTATATCTCAGGATTTTCCAGACTATTCCCTAAGACGGATGACTGCCTCCAGATGGTCTGTTAAAGGTCAAGCATTCAATCAGCTTATTTCCCCAGAACCTTGTTTTGTGGTCTTGTTTTCATTATAGGGTTTAAGAATGGTTTTAGATAAAGTTAGTGGAATGGTTATTGGTTAATCAGCAGACTCCTTGGTGCCGGGAAGTGCTGGACCTGTGTCATGAGGTTTTGAATCACTCGTTTATTGATTAATTGTGTGTACATGCAGTATGGTCTATATAGTTGTAGTGAAAATAAAGAATTTTGCTGGATGCCGGAGAGAGCTTCCAGTCTCCTTATTATCCAATATTTCACTGCAGGTCTTATCTCTGCTGTGCAGCATCACCCATCCCTTCGTGCAACATGCAATGACACAAAGTAGGTTAAATAATTATTTTAGGGACAGTTATTACATAGAATCCTTATAGGTTTAATGGCTGGTTTTGAGGGAGGGTGACTTTTAAGACCCACCTTGGGAAAGAGAGATTCTAGTTTCCATGGCTAGCTTCCGGGAAGAATGGGACTGAGAGGCAGGAGGACAAGGGAATATCAGAGAACTTTTGCTCCTGAGGCCTTCATTTTGGGTACTGTTTTGTGAATCCCATCCTCTTTGTGTGATCTTTACAATTTCAAATCCCTGAAAATATCTGATTTCAAGTTTCCATCTATTCTACATAAGGAACAATATTCATAAAGAACGTTCCATGCTCTTGTATCACTGCTAAGTTTTCTTTTCACATCACTCTATCACTCCAGCCTATTCGTTTCTTCATAGCACTGTTGAAAACTATCTTGTCTACTTTGTTTTTCAAATTTCAAAGTGGATTTTCTTCAGAATTGTCCTTAAACAGTGGCTGATAGATAGTGTATGCTCAAATAAGTTTTGAAGAAATGAATTAGTGCAGGTTTCCAATATTTATTAACTTTGTAGTTTTTTGTTTGTTTGTTTTTTTGAGACAGAGTCTCACTCTGTAGCCTTTGGTAGAGTGCTGTGGTGTCACAGGTCACAGCAACCTCAAACGCTTGGGCCCAGGCAATCCTCTTGCCTCAGTCTCCCAAGTAGCTGGGACTATAGATGCCCGCCATAATGCCTGGCTATTTTTAGAGATGTGGTCTTGCTCTTGCTGAGGCTGGTCTCATACTCTGAGCTCAGCTCAAGCAATCCACTGGCCTCAGCCTCCCAGATTGCTGGGATTATAGCCATGAGCCACTGTACCCAGCTGAACCTTTGCAGTACATTTTCAAGCAATGTCTTCATTATCAGTTTAGCCCTCACCAGCCCACCATTTATGTTTGGTAACACATCTTTTTTAAATTCAAATATCTGATAATACCACTTTCTTGTTTGAAATTACCTTGAGTACTTTGTAGCCTTCCAAGTGTAGCAATTTATTTATCAAATAATTGTTAAGAATACATTTTGTGTTAAGGCATGGTAAGGAGAGATGAGTTTACAACTTATTGAGACTCAGTTGAGGTGCTTACAATTTACAGAGGAAAACAGTAAAGGAAGAAGCCGTGACAATGAGTTGTAGTAGTCTAACATAAGGAAACACAGGTGCCAGGGAAGTGGAGGGGAAGGGTACCTGGCTCCGGGCAGGGAGGAAAGTTAGGAAAGGCTTCCCAGGGGATGGAAGAGTGTAAGATGAGGGTGAGGGGGGGACCATGTTCCAAGGAGACCCACAATCCACCTTTATAGATTCCTGGCATTTGAAAATCCCTAGTTTGTCAGCTTTATGTTCTGAATTTTCTCAATTTGGATTCCCTCTACTAAGGCAGGTGGCTCCTTAGAGTTCCCAAAATGCTCCACTCTGCTTTCTCCTACAGCTCTGCCTGCTATTCTTGCTGCCCTAGGAGGTAAGGGTCTGATTCGGGGGGGGAGGCCATCTTTTCTATATTTTTCCTTTCCCTTTCTGTTCAACCCAAACATATTTATAAAAGCACCTTGACTTCTTGCCTCAGTTTTCCAGAGAACAGTTTGCATTTTCCCAGAAATCACCAAGCCTAAAGTAAACAGCAGTAATTTTGAGCTGGAAACTCTTACATTTTCTTCACGTTAACCCACTACACAGACACTAAAATACTGTATGTAGAACTCCTCGAGGGACATCTGTGACTCATTGAATTATTCTTCCTTGTTTTAAAAGATAAAGGATGGGCATTCAATTACTCTGAGTAAACACAGCCAAATGCTAACTTCAAATTTAATTTAATGTAGATAATTGATTCCAAAGTGTAGCGAACAGCAAAGAATTGAGACCAAAGGAGCAGAAAATATTTGACTTTTAATTATAAATATGTCACTAATTATTAGCACAGTATCATGTTAATGAATATTTATTTCTCTGTGTCACTATAGATAATACAACCTTGTGGTTATTCTGAGCAATGGGTTCCAGTAGGATTGCAGACGATTGAAAAGCATACATGCCTTAAAAATTTAACTAATAAGCATTTTTTTTCTACAATTTTCCAGTTATAATTTATACTTTGATGTCAAATAAGGCCAAAAGTCCCAGTATGGAAACTGTAAGTAACAATTATGCTGTTACTTTATTATTGCAGATGTTCATAATAAACATATAGAAAATAAATTCATAAATAAAATACATCAATATTGAAATGCACGTTAGCTTTTTTTCAGCCAATGTAGTTGTTTTTGATCTACATGGGAATTAAGTGAAGGCAAGTTAAAGTAAAATTCAACAGTATTCAAATTATAAACATTTAAGATATCACTTCTGATTTTCAAGGCTCATTAACCAAATATATTTAGGAACTTAAGTTTAAGACTAATGCTTTGACTAATGATTTGGAAATAGATGACAATACACAACTAAATATACTGGATATTTTTATTAACATTTCCTTTTTGTCAAGTTAAGGGGAATTTATAAAATTAATCAGAAAAAAAAACCTTCTTAGTCTAATATGCCATATTACGATTGCAACTAATTAATATCACATGAATCCATATGCATCATGAAAATCAAGAAAAACAACTTGGGATAACACTTTCTGCCTTCAAGGAAAACATTAACTCTGTACCAGGGTTGTAAAAAATGCCAAAGTATACTTTTTTCTTGACTTTTTTTTTAAGAAAAAATAAATCTAACATTATCATGCTATGTCATGACACCTTACATTATTAAGATTAATGACCAATATCATTAAATACGTACTAGCATTTTGTTCTTGAAGATGGGCAGAATGTTCTGTTGATTGGCTATAACGGCTTGTTTTAAAGAAAGGGATTGTTAATGATCATCAACTCTTAATGAATCACAAGTCTTCCAGGAATTTGGAGTGGTGCTGGCTCTCTTGTTTGACTCGATATTCTGGAGGTTCTATATAAAAGTAAAAGTAAAAGTCAACACCATGCCAATTTAAGAATTTTACAGTTGTGCTTATGAGTATTTATATTTTTGGATGGAGTCTGTGCCTGGAGGGAAAAAATCAACTTCATGAATGTGAACTCCCAATAGTTAAATAGTCTACAGTGTTTCTGAAGAGTGTCCTGCATTTAGTTATGATTTCCAAGTAATCATTAAAAGAAAAAAATTCCTTTCTTCTCTCAAATAATTAAGCTTTGAATTATTTGTTTTTTTGAAAACTTCTTTGAAGATATAGGGCTGTTGTCACTTAGCACAACATGGAACAGATGCAAATATCTTAACCTATCCTAAAGATGGCCATTCATGTGGATTCAACTTGACTACCGGGTTGGTGAACAGTGCTTGAAATGACAATTGGCCTTCTCCCAGTAGGGAGCATTATTTATCTCTAGAGGTGAGGTAGCATGTTGCTGAGGATGATTTTGGTTTTGTTTTGTTCTTTCCATGATGGCATTTCTTTTTGTCATGTACCTAACCCTGGGTCTGGAACTTTCAGATTACACATCATGATTATTTTCAATTGTGTGAAAAATAATTTGCAACCAGCTGTACTGTACTTAGTGGTATGCAAAACTTACTGTACAATACACATTAAAATCAAGATTTTTATCTGTAATGGCAACACTCCCACTGTCATCCAGAAAAGGGAAATGTTTTCTACGTAGGTAAGAAAAGAGGTAAGTTTAAGCTGAGACATAGGGAATTGGGCATAGCGTGTACCTTATTTACCTAGAGCACAAAGTAATCTGGAGAAACTCATGGGCCCAGGAGACAAATGTAAACTTTATACATTATATGTGGGGCTAGGAAGTAAAGATTGACCCCCATCAAAGTGAGATCCATGGGGGCTAGAAAACGGTCTGGGATTCTCTGAAACAGTATGTCCATCAGGCAGTAACTGAACAGTACTCTCAAATATTTTAAACCATACAATGCAAAGTTTAATAAATACCAAATGCTATTGTTCCCCTTACACTCTAATTATTTGGCCTTCAGATCTCATCTTGGAACTCATAAAATATCTCCTCACACAATTACAACTTTTAGGGCCTTGGAGAAAAGCCACTTGTTTTGTTACTAGTTTTGGTTAACATCAAATTAAATATTTAGAGGCATTGGATCCACCAAATGTATACTACTTTTTTTAAAAGCTAGAATTGCATTTAAAAATAGATTAATTTGAGTGTACTTAGCAGAACGTAAATACACGTCATGTACCCCAACCCCTTGGTGTGGCCATACACCTCTCAACATCAGTCTTTTATTTCATTTGCCTGGTAGTCAAGGCCTTTAAGTCTGAGACTTCTGGAGAAGCAGTATGCGTTCAGGCAGGCTGTAGCTGACTGGGTCAATCTTCCTCTCTAGGCATCAGGAGTCATGAAGTAAGAGAAACATCCACTGCTTCTGCTCACCTGTGGTCCCTATACTACTAAAAACCACGGTTTATGTGTGTGTGTTGCATATATGTTCATATGTATGTTAGCATACTTACATATTTCTTCATTAACATAGTTGATACTCAAATTACTCACACATATGTAAGATGAATAAATGAAGGAACATGACTGATGTTTAAATACAATGTAATTTTTTAAGTTTAAGGTAAGCTAAGGGTACACTGTTTTGTATCTATTTGTCAATACAAAATAAAAGGAAAAAATTTATACCCTAAACACTTAGAAATCTAGCGACTGATGCATTCATAATGATAAAGACTCACATGTCTGCCGGACCATTACTGCATTCCAGCAATGAAGGCAGCCAGGATTTGGAAAGAGTAAATTAATATCAGGCAGTGGTACTGTCTTTCTATGGGTACTCTGTGGAGCCCCATATAATGTCTCTTTCAACAATTGTATACTAAAACATGTATAAAATTCATCAGCATGAAAGAAATTAAAACAAAGACTAAATCTTCAGATAAGGACATACTGTACGAAGTATACAACAGCTTGGTCGGCGATGTAAGCTCTCCACTGCTGCGAATGGTTTGAATAAGAAAGGCAGCAAAGTTCGAGCTGGACTTTGTAGGAAATCCGGGGGCAATGATTGATAACAGTTTAATTGGAAGGAAGATACGATGCCTATGTGCTTGTAAAACAGAACATAAAAAAAAAAAATCTCCTGTGATCACATTTCCCTTCCATATGAAGACTGAGAGTAACAGTTTCACGTAGAAGTTGCCTACTGTCTTAGAGAAGATGCTTTGCTTCTCAGACCCTTGGCGAGCCAAGCCCTGTGCGACATGCTTCAACTAGGCTGAGTCCCCTCCAGCCCTTCCCCTCTGAGTTATATCCGTTACCTCAGTTTGACCATAACCAAAAGAAGGATTCCACAGGTGACTGTCATGCACATGATAGCATAGATTACTTCTCCTAGGAACAAAAGATTATGAAAAAAATGTCACTGGTGTTTCCGAGGGAATGAATGATAAAGATATCATAAAGGATTGATACAGCACTGACCATTGAAGGGGGAACGAAAGCCAGTCAAAGTGATTTCCCTCTCATGTTTTCTCTTATACAATGCAATGCCTTTGATGTTGGTCAGGGGTGGATAGTCTGAAAGAAAATAATAAAGATGAGATAAAGTATTTACATATTATGCATTATTTTGATTGTAACTTGTTTGGTATTATAAGGTGGCAAGTTATTTCCATGACATCATTTTAATAAATCTAATAGATTTGGGTGAAAGTGGGAACATAAATTTTAACAGCTTGTTTTTTCCCTTTAAATCAGGTAATTTCCCTAGAGAGGCTTTTTCTCTGCAAACCGTGATTATAAAAATAATTACATTTTGTAAGATAACTCATATCTTATATATAGACTGGGAAAATAAAAGAAAGTTAATTTTAGGCCACTCATTGGCCTATTAAAAAAGATCCCTTTTTTAGAAGAGTGATTGTTTAATGAGCTTTTGAGGATATGGCATATCTCATTTCCCTAAGACCCAGGGTACTTATGAGTACCCTGATGAGGAGCCCCCAAATTACAAATACTCTGTGTACCCCTCCATTCGGATGCTGGGATAAGTCGCTTTGCTTATCTCTTTGGTCCTGTATCCCTTCCTCCTGCCCTGCTCCCCACCACAACTAGTTCACCTTCTACTGCTACCGATGATTTTAGTGCCACTATAGACCTAGCACTCCTGGTCATTCTGAGATCCTAGTTTTCCTGTGCACGTTTCTGAGAAACACAGGCCCAGAGGTTTCTACCACGACTCTAGAAAACACGTTTCATAGCGGCCAGCTTTTAAAAAGGAATCTTTTCCCATGAGGACATGGTCATTTACTTTCCCACTTTAAAGGCAAAAAAGTGCAATAGGTAAATTTCATTGATAAACCTATTTTAAGTGATTTGGAGAGATATCCTGAAGGTGAAATCACCAAACATATCCATAATCCAATACCTGCTTTCTTTGATGATGAAGATTAAGGTCAGCTTTGAGGCATAAAAGAGAAAACAAGGGGAAATGAAGTAAAGACTCCACCTGAGAAAGGCTTTGCTGTCCTCTGTTAAAGATGTTTCATGTTTTTTGAGACTTAGATGTCTATATATGACCTGACAGTTGTTTAAAGAAATGAATGTCTCAAATAGTGAGATATTACATCTGCCAACAGGCTCTGAGCAGGAAGGAATGGAGATGAGCGATAGTTATGCATCCTTCACGTGCATGATTAGATGATTGGATTTTTGTGTAAACATTATAATGTGTCCTTTTGCAAATGTAGATGGTATGGACTACCATATATCTAGGCTATATGTTATATCCTACTGCTCCTAGGCTACAGGCTTGTTGAGAATACTGCCATATTTAATATTGTGGGCATGGGTAACACACTAGTAAATATTCATATAACTATATATAGAAAACGCACAGTAAAAAATAAGGTACTATAAATGTATTGGGCCACTGTCATGGGCAGTCTCCTGCTGACTGAAATCTCATGCATTGCATGACTATATTACCGAGTTGATCATGGGATCATCTCTCCACCCAGGGCTGCTGCTGTTCAGGACATAGCTCCTTGAAATCCAAAATTTTTGAGCTGTGTTAGGTATACTTAGCAGACAGGGAGATTGAAGTTTTAATAATGAAACTCTCGGGTAAGGGAGAAGCAACGCCATACGAGCCTAGAAAAGTCATCAAGGAGGACTTTGTCATTAGAAAATTCAATCTCAAGGAGTCTGAACTCTAAAACAAGGCATTTTTAGTTAAAGAATTTTTAGTTCACAAGTTGCATATTGGCTTTATTATCTATTTAAGAAGACTTCCCTTCTTAGGGACTTAAAAATAAACCTCTTCAGAATGTAAAAGTAATAGAGGCAGAGCTGGCAATTGTTTTCTTAAGCTTTTATGATTATAAAATATGTTTAGTCATTCTTATAAAGTCGGTATGGAACAATTGAACAATTTCAAATAATACTATCTTTTGGAATTATAGTCCTTTGGGGAAGAATTAACTTTAACCAAACTAAGCATATAGATGTTTAGTGAAATAAATGATCACAAATAAACTTTTATATTTAAATCAATTCAGAATGGGAAGAATAAATGGTTTTGCTTCCTTTAAAATTCTATGGCATTTTGTGAAGCTTTAGGTAGACTCATTGCCTAAATGTAATTGCATATGGTACACGTTAGCTGATTAATCATGAAAATAGTTAATCAAACAGTTTTCCTTTTTAAAATCTATCCCTACGTACATTTGGTCTAGTTACATATCACAATTCATCTCTCCACACCAAAAGTACTATTCTAACAAACTAGGCTAGCTTTAATGTATGTAGTTTCCTCAAAGAATTGTCAAACATTCACCTGACGAAGTTTAGAAGGAATCCTCTCGTTCACTACATTTCACTCACGTGGAACTCACTAACAAAGTCACAATAGATCCATGACAGAAATGCTAGCTAATGATCCCAGTGAAAATTTAAATGCGTCTAGCGATCACTCCACAATCTTAAATATTGCACCCTAGGAGGTTACCAGGGATCAGTTTGAGAGATTAATGTTTCCGAGGGTTTCTTGGCTACTGAAGCCCATTGAAGGTTCTTTCCTACCTTTTATAAACAGTGAGGTTTCTAGTGTTTTATAACCATGAAATTAAAGTAGGCAGGTTGATAACTAACCACAGTCCCACGCCATCTGCTGTATTTATAGATAAACACTGTCAGTGACTTGTTTATCTTAACTTTTACCCTGGAGGAATTAACCACTATTATGAACTATATTGTAAAATCCCTGTACATTTGACGGGAAATCAAGATTAATTTCAGCTTTGCATTAGAACAATTTAAACAGTGCTCTCTCCAAAGGAGCTGCAGCGTTATGACGATTTGATGATTTCTTTTTTTCCTGCAAAAATTCTTAGGCAACACTGGCTGAGAACTGATGGGAACTGAAAACTATTTTGTATAATTTACATGAAAATGGTAAATGCATTGTAAAAGATGTGGTATATCAAAGACAAAACAATGATTTGAAAATAAATATCAGAATGTTTGAGATATAATAACTTGAAGTAAAAATTAAAAACAATAGCAAACTATAAATTTGTGAAATTTCATTTTATTTCATTTTAACTGAAACATAGTTTAGAAGAGTCAATTGGGGGGAAAAACTTCTTGTATCTCGAATGAGTTTAAGGGAAAAACGCCAAGTTTCCCAAACTGAACAATAGTTTCTACCCGCAATTAAATAATATAAGCACTGGGTAAACTCATAATACAGACAAATGTAAGATAAGATTGGAAAAAAAATTGCACTGTGCTTTACAAATTGTATACTGTGCTACATATACAGAAGTTTTTAATGTACAGGATGTTTTTAGTGCAAAAATATATAGGACAGTACCATTGACTTTCAAATAGGTTTCTGATGTTTTCATCTGAAATCGAAGAATTTACTAATTATTATCCTGTAAAAATGTATCAAAATTGATCCAGCTAGCTTATATAATTTTTTTCATAGGCTGATTGAAAGACTAAGGGAAAGAGCATTAGGAAAAAATAAAGGAAAGGAATATTTTTAGGAGGAACTTCGTAGTATTTGAAATGATAAGATAGTCCAGAAAGTTTCCTACGTTATTGAGTTCTGAAATGGAAAAAGAAGCGGGCATAATTGAAATAAATCTTTGCTGCATAAAAATTTTCAAATCTGCTTGGGAAAGCTGACTATAAATGTATGAAATGTATTGTTACATCTCCCCTTAATGCCGTTGTAACTTTCTTGACTAATGCACAGTACAGTGAGGCTATCACAATGCCATGCCCGCGTAATTGTCTGATGCAGTAGTCCCAGGGAACAGTTTCATGGAAGACGGTTTTTCCATAGCCTTGGGGCAGGGTGGTTTTGATACAAGTCTGCAAGAAATTGACTTACTATGGCTTCAGTGTGGCCAAACCTCTCTGCAATGATAATCTGTGTTTATAGCTGCTCTTCAGCACGAGCATCACGCCTCAGCTCCTCCTCAGATCATCAGACATTAGATTCTCATGAGGACCTGCAGCCTAGATCCCTCACAGCAGTGTCCAGTATGATACAGCTGGCGATAAGAATGAGAGGGAGGGGCTGTAAATGCAGAGTAAGCTTTGTTGGCCCAGCAACGGCCATTCTCCTCCTGCTCTGGGACCCAGTTCCTAACATGCCATGGACTGATACTGGTCCATGGCCTGGGGGTTGCTTGGAAACCACAGACCTAAAGGATGCAAAGTATGTATTAGCAAATTTCACCCTTGAAATAGTGCATCTGTCACTGTGGAGTGTACGATTGTATAATATTTAAACATTAATGTCTTGTTCTTTCTTTATCTTTGATTGACATTAGTCAAATATCTCCATATAAATCACATATTTTCAATTATTTCTTAAAAACGTAAGTTCAGTGACCCAGCTGGAGTGAATACGGTTATCAAATCAAGAATTTGTTAAGCAATTATTTGGCCTGGAGATTAATTCTAAGAGTCAAGTTTGTTTACTGATGGGTGAAAAATAATCATCTTGGTTATTGGATTAGAGATATCAGAAGAACAAAGGAGTTCTCTGAGCCTCGGGTTTTGTATTTGTAAAATGAAACTTGTAATACTGACATAAGCCAGGTTGCTTTGAGGATAAAACTGGTATTAAATGAATAACAAGCTAATAGAGCTCTTGGGGACCTCTGTGAGAAAGAACGCCGCACAAATGCAATGAGAAAGGAAAGGAAAACACGGATAAACCACGGGATTCCTTTCTGATTCTTTTCCTCTCCTCCCTCCCAGCTTCCTTTCTTTTCTCCCTTTCTTCTTTCTTCATCTTCCTTCAGTAAGTATTTAGTGAATATTTACTCGTGAATGGCGTGGGGGATATAAAGGTGATTCACACGTGTCTTTAAATGTGAAAGCATATGCCATGTTTGCTAATTTGCCATCAACACTCAGTAACCCCTGCACAGATGAGGGTTCAAGAAACATCCTGCTCCCTCTTGCTCTTCTCCCTTGCTCAGTAGCACATTTTTTAGCAATCTTGAGAGAACTCTATACTTTTCCTACGGTATAGAGAACTCTGTACTATGCTA